GTTGTATTGTATTTATTGTAAATGGTAAACCGTTGTAACTGTGACAATTACAAAATAACATTATTTAAATTGTAGGTATTTACCCATAAACCACAACTAATCTTCCTATGATATCCCAGCGATCAGTTCCTATAAATAGATCATAAATAAACAATTTAAATGCAATTTATAAAGGAGTGGCATTCTGTTCTCGGTCACATGTTTGTCCTGATATAGTGATATTTTCTGTCACGCTGCTCCCACGTAGGTTTTGTGACTCTAACGCTCGTTGTGCACCTAATTAAAACAATAACTGAAATAAGTAACTTATTTATTTATGATCTATTTATGATTTATTTATAGGAACTGATCGCTGTGATATGATAGGAAGATTAGTTATGATTTATGGGTAAATACCTACAGTTTAAATAATGTTATTTTGTAATTATCACAGTTACTACGGTTTACCATTTACAATAAATACAATTAATATATATAACATGAAGTATATGTATTCCTACATAGAAATGAAATACAGAATATCTATCTATCTATCTATCTATCTATCTATCTATCTATCTATCTATCTATCTATCTATCTATCTATGTGTGTGTGTTTCTTTGTAACCTTGACCTCTCTCTATGCTTTGCAGGTCATCTCAGGTATCGATCAAGGTGTGTTAAGTCTGACTGGGGCACTTCCCTTCCCTCTGTCAAGTCTGTCAGCAGTAGTCATTCAGTAGACGGGCGGCCCATTGTTTGGGGCTACAGGTAAAGGTCAGTGTGCGAAGCTCAGATCCAGACACACTCACAGGTATTAAGATACAAGGAGACAAAAACAAAGCGATCTTGTTGCCAGAAAAGAGTCTTATGATCTAGACATCATGCTATGCAATAGTAGCAAAACATGATAAGGATCTGTCTAGCCTATTTTACTAGTTGTAAAATACACTGATTTGATCTTACGGTTTAGATAAACATTATAAATCCTAACCTGTCGGAGGCTAAGGGCCACTTCACGTCCACACGCGAAAATACTTCATTTAGTGCTACACAGTCAAACAATTAAAAAGTCATGGTGTCTCTCTAAGCTATAGCATGTAAACGTAATATCAGCGCATATTTCAAGCGGGAGAGTGGAGCTAAAGGAGGACAGCACGCAGTAGTGCGAAATAAAGAGAATGGAAAAGGTCAGCGATTTGCATTTCAGCATGTGAGTTTTATTGCGGGTCAATTCCTTTTACAGCTGAAACACCACATAGGCTCAAGTGGTAGCTCAAGAAGTTAGGGGTGAAATGAAAAGCAATAAAATATTCAGGAAACAGGAGAATAAATACGTTCAAAAGCCGCCCCCATTACAATTTACGACTTTCAAATGTCTTCGTCTCAGAAGCCCACAATCTCAGCTACCGCTGAAAGCTGTTAAAAACACCTGTCGCACAATGCTTGTAGTTAACAGTAAACTGGGATTAAATTCTTATTTGAAACACAGTTATGTAAACGGACACGAAAGTATGAGTTCAAATTGAAGGGATAGCAATAGTGAGATTTCACAGTAGAGACAGATGAAAAAGTCTTGTAGGCTATACTTGTGTTAGAAGTACAAAATCGTGCGCTTCGTATACAATACTATCCTACCAGAAAACTGCTATTTTGAGAGGGTTTTTTTTATTTACTTTAATTTATTTATGGTTTTTTTTTTTTTTTTTTTTTTTTTTTTTTTTTTACATTTTTAAACTACTAAGAACTTTCCCACAACACAAGGTCTTATATGGTTTAAGTCTGGTAAGAGAAAACTAGAGCGAACATACTGAAGGGTTAAACGGCCCTATTATGTGCAGCGACCGGACTTGTCAGTGTTCTGAAATATTACCGAGGCGAAAAAGCTACAGGGACAACGACGAAGAAGAGAAATGTGCTTTACTTCTTTGTGCAGTTTGAAAAATAAATCGAGCTCCATTCCCCTGGTTATTGTCATGCAAATTAACGGACAGAGAGGGAAAAATGAAGCGTTGCAGCACGTCCCTCCCTGTGGCAAGTATTCGTCTGGAGAAAAATAAATAAA